TCCTCCTCCTGATGGATTCAAGCCAACCGTCAACTGACCTCTTTATGGTGCCACTTCCACTTTTACTTTCCATTTATGTAGAAAATGTGGTAGGGTCTGGATGGGCATCTGTACCAGGTACAGTTCGTTGTATCTGCTTCTACTCTAACCTCCATCTTCTTCCTTCTGAACAAAACCTTATTTTTATTCAGTTATGCACCCCTCTGTGTGACAGAGTAAGATGACCCCAATGTGATTTCCCGAGTGATACCCTGAGAAGTCTAAGGCAATCATGGAGGTTCCAGACCCCTTGCAAGTTTAAGACTGGGTAGGTAGATGGTACACTTCTGTCTGTTGACACAAAATGTGAAATCTGCTTGGGGACAGGGGTGGGGAAGGCATGTGGGAAATGTTTCTCCACTTCTTAGAAAGAGACAGTGGAAGTTTGGAAGGGAATGGCCCTTCTTCCTCTGGATATGGTTATGTCCAAATATGATGCCTAAAACTACAACCCCTCTTGACGCCAACCTGAGGATGAGACCAACACTCAGAAGAGAGTGGAGGCAAAAGCGTCACAGAGGTGTGGAGCCTGAGGCCCACTCTTTCTGTAGACTCCTATCAGTGTGAGATCATTGGTTCATTATTAAGTTCATCCTCCAATCCAACAGACATTAGGGTCTCTTTCTGTGTCCGTTAGCTGACACTCCTGGAAATCAATGTGTGTCCTCTCAGTTGCCTGGAGGGGAGCTAAGTAGGGTTGGGTGCAGAAGATGAAAGGATGGCTCTTGAGCATGCTGAGTGCTTTTGAAAATTGAAAGGCCTCAGGACCAAGGCTTTTCTAACTTTGTCTTGTTCCTTTCCCTGCCAAGCACAGGGAGCAGTTCTCTCTGGAATTTCCTTATCTGACCAGTAAAGCTTCTTATCAAAATGGTAGCTGCCCTCTATCCTGATATGGTTTGGATATCTGTCCCCTCCAAATCTCATGTTGAAACTTGATCACCAATGTTAGAGGTGGGGCCCAGTGGGAAGTGTTTGGATCTGGGGTGGATCCTTCATGAACAGCTTGGTGCCATCCTCACAATAATGAGTGAGTTCTTCCTCTTAGTTCCCATGAGAACTCCCCGACTCTTCCTGTCTCTCTCTCTCTTGCTTCCTTCTTCCCACCATGTGATGCCAGCTCCCCTTCCCTTCTGCCATGAGTGGAAGCTTCCTGAGGTCCTCACCAGGAGCAGACACTGGCACCAGGCTTTTTCTACAGCCTGCAAAACCGTGAGCCAAATGTACTTGTTTTCACTACAAATTACCCAGCCTCAAGTATTTCCTTATAGCAACACAGACAGACTAAGATATCTCCCCTCCCTGAAATCTCATTGTCTCTTTCAAAAAAGGAGACTGAAAAATGCAACCGCAGCTCAATAGACTTTTTCACAAGATAATTCCTGCCTCTCAAGTTCATTCAAATTCCAAAAAGAATCATTCACAAGTTCATTTCTGTGTCCCTGGTCCAATCATTCTCCTGAACAATCAGTTACTGCCCCTCAGAAGAATTGTCTTCATCTCACATCTTCCCTCCCACAAGGAAAAGGGCATGTCAGCTTCAGTACCCCACTGGGGAGGTGGAATAATTACTCTGTGATTTCCTCCCCATGCCTCCCACATTAATAAATGTGTATGGATTTTTTTCCCTATAATCTACCTTTTGTCAGTTGATTTTTAATGACTCTTCAGAAAGCAAGGGGGAAGTTTTCTTTGCTTTGCCCCTACAGTAGACACAAAGCTTAGAGTATGGACCATCTCAGGACCTTAGTGACAAACTGCACCTCTTGGAAACAAAACCAAGATATGAGATATTAAAAACATCATTAGGATAAGAGCACCTACAAAAAGAAAAACAAACTCTGAAGATGAAGAAGGAAACAGCAGATTCACCCAAGCACAAAATAAAAACTATCTAGAGCAAACATGAGAAATTCAGCAGAAGAGAAATTTGACAAAGCTATTCCATCTTCCTTTCTTTTAGCCAGTCCACTTTATTTTGAGTAAACTTAAAAGAAGAGATTCCAACTCACTGCACCAGCCTACTGTAATCTTGACCCTTGTCCTCAACCTTGGAAAATTCCTTGACCCTCATGGCGAGAGGAGACTTTCAGTTGATTAATTAATTGGAAACCATGCATATAGGCAACTTTTGAGAAGTTCAGGTGTAAACAATAGCAGAAAGATAGGATAAGTGTTAGAAGGTAAGTGGACTATTTAAGAACATCAGCATTTTATTTATTTATAATATTTTAAAAATAAAGATGGGAGGGTCTCACTATGTGGCTCAGGCTGGTCTCAAACTCCTGGCCTCAAGGGATCCTCTGGCACAGCCACTCGAAGTGCTGGGATTACAAATGTAAGCCACTGTGCCAAGCTGAGAACATCAACATTTTAAATATATTCTCCATGTGTAGAGAATATTCAGACTTCTTCTATTTATCAAAAATTATAAATTTGATTTTAAACCTTGAAAACTAAGTCATTTATTATACACAGGTTAATACTCCACGTACTCTGGAAGAGCTTATAATTTTCAAGTCCAGAGGATGCACCAATAACAAAGTAACATCTCTGCCCTGGGGAGGCTTATATTCTAAAGATTTGGCAAGATACAAGCAAAAGAGGCAAAGAGAAACAAATATCAAACAACTGTATAAAAATCAGGTGGTAGGTAAAAATAATAATAAAACATGGAATGTCAGATGTCAAAGTGGAAAGTAGAGACCTGAGGAAAATGAAGGAATTTGCGGACATGACTATGTGGGAGGAATACAGAGAGCATCAGATTACAGATACAGAAAGCATCAGATGGAAAGGCCTTGAGAAGATGCTTGCTTACAATATTGGAAGGACAGCAAGAAGTCCAGGAGGGCATGAGCAGTGTGTGACAGCTGAAGAGAGTGGTCATAAGTGATACCAGAGATAGTGGAGGCGGGGGAGAGACTGTACAGGGTATAGTGAGTTATTGCAAGGATTTTGAGTTTTAAACTGAATGGTAAGGAAAGCCCTGGGAAGATTTTGAGCAGACGAGAGTCCTGATTAGACTTAAAATCTTAGAAGCATCATTCTAGTTTCTATGTTGAAAATAGATCGTGATGCAACAAGTTAGAAAGAGGGATGTCCGTTCAGAGATGATTAGAAAAACTCAAGGCAGAGACCAAGGCAGCTCGGCAGGGTGACAGTGGCAGAGACGGTGAGAGACGGTCAAGAGATGGGCGTGTTTTGCGGGGAGTTCCAACAGGATTTGCTGATGATTACATCAAGAGTGGGGCAGGAAGAAGAGGATAAAGTTTTTTGCCTGATAATTGAAAGAATGGATTATACTTTCGGAGATGAGGATACCTGTTGGAGGAGCAGATTAGAGAGAGGGTGGAAGGGTGATTATCAGAAGTCCAGTTTTGGAAACATTGGTTTTGAAATAGCTATTAGATTTCTGTCTCAGTTAGTTAATGCTGAGTCACAAACCACCTCACAACTCAATAGCATATAAGACACAAAAAGCACAATGCATAAAAGAAAAAACAATAAGTGCTATGAAAAAATCAAAATGGCAAGCCACAGAATAGAAGAAAAAGTTCACAACACATGTATCTAACAAGTAACTTGTACCTAGAATCCATAAAGAACTCTAATAATTCAAAAACAGGAAGATAATTTTTTAAAAAAGCAACGGATTTCAACAGTCACAAAAATAGTATAAACACATGGCCAATGGGCACAGGTAAAGGTAAACATCTTTAGTCCTCAGGGAAATGAATCAAAGACATTCAACATCATTAGTCCTCAATGAAATTAATTAAAATTACAGAGAGGGCTGGGTGCAGTGGCTAACACCTATAATCCCAGCACTTTGGGGGGCCTAGGTGGGCAGATTGCTTGAGCCCAGGGGCTTGAGTCCAGCCTGGGCAACATGACAAAACCCCATTTCTACGAAAAAAAGTTATCTGGGCATGGTGGCAAGAACCTGTAGTCCCAGTTACTTGGGAGGATAAGGTGGGAGGATGGCTTGAGCCCTGGAGGCAGAGGTTGCAGTGTGCTGAGATCTTGCCACTGCACAGCCTGGGCGACAAACAAACAAAGCAAAATACTACAATGAGATCCCCCTACCTACCCATTAGAATGGCTAAAATTTAAAAGACTAACAATGCCAAGTGTTTTGAGATCACCAGTGTATACACTGTCAAAACTCACGGAACCCTTTAAATGTATGCAATGTATGCTACCCAAATTACATTTAAAATTAATTTTTAAAAAACTCAAAGGGTTAAAGCTACACTTCTTATAGCTCATGAGTCTGGGGGTTAAATGAGAGTCTGCTGCTTAGAGCTTGGCTCAACTAATCTCAGTTGGATCCCTGATCCACTCTAATAGGGCTTGATTGAAGTTCCTTAGTAAGCTCGGTTCTAAATTTTTAATCCTGTACTTTTAAAAAAAAAAAATCATTGTCCTTAAAATTCTCTCCCTCTCCCCTCTCCCCTCCTCTATCCCCTCTCCCCTCGCTTCTCTCTAGTCTCACTATATTGTCCAGGCTAATCTGGAACTCCTGGGTTCAAGCAATCTTCCCTCTTCAGCCTCCCAAGTAAGTGGGATTACAGGCATGCAACACGGCGCCCCACCTTCTCATTCTCCTCTCAGGACCCGAGGGTTAACTTAGCCTTGTGCTTCTGATGGCAGTAGCAGAAGCACAAGAGACAGTAAGTGGAAATCCGCAAGTACTCTTGAGGACTAGGCTTAGTATGTACATACCGATGGGGTTCAGGACATCCTATCCCAAAATGTGGTACCTTGGCATTTGAGAAAACAGCAGAATTTTCCTCCTTTATCCTTCCCTTATCCTTCTTATCCTTCTCCCCTGAAGCAGGTCATAAAACCTAGGAAGATCACTCTCTGACCTTCTCCTGCCCTTCTCTTCTGAAGAAAATCATAAGACTCTCATTCAAGAGGAACACTTCATATACCCAGAGGTAAGGAAACATGCTTACCTCTGAAGACACAGGGACGTAGAGAAAAATCAGGATATACAACCTCGCTAGGTTCCTCCCAGTTTAGTACCAGCAGATCACACCCTTTTGTCCTCCAATTGTATTTCTTCATGCTTGTTCACTCTTCCTACACCTAAGCATGATAATACCTACGTTTAACTGTTTCTTCAGAAGGCCCCCATGTCACAACAAACTTATATTAAATACATTTTTTGCCTTTGTCTTTTTAATCTGTCTTTTGTTACAGGGACCTCAGCCACGAACATAGTGATGGGTGAGGAAAAGGTAGTTCCTTTCCCCTATACTACGCTGAATTCAGCCTCATCCTGTCAAGCAAGTGACATGACTAAGGCCAAATTCCACAGAGGTGGCAGGAAGAGTAGCTCCTGCCTCTCAGTGAGAGGGAATGCAGAGTCACATGGCAAAGGCGGTGGACATTGTGCAATCTAACTTAGCATTCAAGTGGGGATGTCAAACATCCTGGAAATATGTGTCTAGGCTGAAGATCTAATGCCATGGTTGTCAGAATGGGAAGGTATCTGAGGCAGTAGGGGCCAAGAGGAAACCTCTCCTTCACCTTCTGAAGGTTCACTGAAAAATCAATTTATAAAAGACTGGTTAATTGGAAAAAAGGCAAACAAATTTATTTAATGTGTATACATCGGGAGAACCACCAAGTGATTGCCCACCCCTCAACAGAGTTCAGAAGCTTATATATCATGCTGGTGAAGCAGATTATGGGAGAGGAAAGAAGAGCGATTCTGTGGAGGGGATTGCTAGGGAGAATGAGTGGATCAGGAAATAGAGATGACCTTGTGAATTTTCTTGGAAAAGGTTCTGTTCAGGTGTGATTACATTCTTGGTCTTACAGTGAGGGGAAGAAGAAACAATTGTTCCTTTTGGTGGGTCTAGATCTTAGACAGATAAAGGTTTAGGGAGAAATGTCAGGAGGGGGGAGATGTCAGAGAGGCCTTGAGGCTTCTTCAGTTCAGCCCATGCAAGCACCATATTTGGGAGTATCAGCTTCTGACTCCTAACAAGCCCATGTGACTAAAATAATCACCTAGAGATTGAACGTTGACAGAGATGAGAAGAGAGTCAAGGGTGGGGAGATGACGGCAGCCAACAGTGGACACGGAAGTGGGGTGGTCGTGCTGATAGTCAAGAGAGAAGACAAGTGAGAAAGTGTTTTCACAAAGGAAGAGGAATGACCAACTGTGGTGATCAATGCTCCCTGAAATAAATAAAATCACAATCGCTGCCTGGTTCTTCTTGAGTCGTCACTACGCTATGGATATATCAGTGTGTTCAACTGGGATGCAGTTAGAATTGACAAAAAGAAACTCTGTCCTGCCATACACATCCAGCCATGTAGATGAACCAGGTGAGATTGGCTGAGCCCAACCAGAACTCTATCTTTTCCTATATTCATTTCTTTATAGACGCTGGGGTCATTTCCAACACTAGCGAGATCTATAGCCTAATTATTTATGTAACAGGTATTTATTGGGGGCTTACTTTTGTCATACACTCTTCTAAGCAATAAGGCTTAGAAAAGAAAATAAGAGATTTCCAGCTATCATAGAGTTTACATTTCAGTGGAGGAACAAACAAGAATCTTAAACAAGTACACTTATAAACCAGCAAGTAATTTCAGACAGTGGTGAGTGCTGGGATGAGGACAAAGCACACGGATGACTGGAGGCTGACTGGGGGAAGTATTTTTGATCATAAGGTCAGAGAAGTCTTCTCCAAGGAGTGGTAGTTGGCTCAGATCTAAGTTATTCAAATTAGACAAATCCTTAGAGAGTTTTATTACAGTTTTTCGACCCTCTGCCAATGCTAAACTGATACTCAGAAAAGAGAATCCCAACATCGTCTCCTATTCTCTCCCACTCTGCTGAGAAATACCGATAAAATGGGATAGTAGGCATACCAAGAGAGGTATACCAGATGCCTCCTGGACCATGGGCCCTCGCATTTGGGCTTCTCTAACCAAAGAAGAATCCTTTTCAAGAACTGTGCCTAGTCAAAGCTATTCAAGAAACAGAAAGGTCTTCCTTGATTCAGCAACTGTGAATTTTTTTTTTCTGTGGCAGGAAGAGAAGAAGGTATTAAACTCTGCAGAAGAAAAAAATCATGATTGACTCAGAAGGCCCTTGACTGGTCATGACCTTTCCGCTTTCTGGTAGCAGAGAAATGAAATGAGGTGCCAGGTGATATATGTCTTACATCTACCTGAGACCCATTAGCAAACTCAGATGGTAGGAATTGTTCTTGGAATGAAGACACTAGCTGAAAGGGACAAAAGAACTTCCCCAAGGTCACTCTGTTAATAAGTGACAAAAGCAGATATGAACCAAAGACTGTTTCCAGAGACCCATGTTCTTTTAACCAAATGGCCTTGCCAGGCTGCCACACCGAGCATCAGAAAATAAAAACCATTCAAAGATACAGGGCAGAACCAATTCATTTGTTGAATTCTTCTAAGAGGAAGAAAAGAGAGCGAGAATAAGATCAATAACGCCATGTTGCATTTTCAGCGTGGGCAGTGAGAACAGCACACAACAATTTATAGAAAAAGACGATATGTGTATTCCCTGGGGCTGGAAAGTTGTTAGACATTAATAGCAAGAAAATTGTTAAGAAGCTGACAAGAGGCAAAGGAAATGTCCTTGCTTTCTCCCTGCAAAAACCTCGTTGAAGGAGATGCGGGAGAGAACACAGGATGGAAAATCGAAGCAGATTTGAGATAGAAAAAAAAAAAAAACCCACAGGAGGGAAATATGAGAACGCTTGAAAGAAAGCAGTATGAAATGAAAAAATTTCAGAGTAAAAAGGAAAATAAGCATAGCTGTTGTAAGAAAAGCAGAATGGCTAATTAACAAGGGGATGAAAAATGCCCTGCAGATAATATTTATCATCCTTCCCAGTATTCCTGTGGCTTTATTTGTGGCCATCTGTCGGCCTGATCTTTTCCAAGTGTCTGTTGCCACATGCACAGGCCATTAATTTATTGAAAATATTACTGGAATTAGATTGCTTCTGGCCTTCTTGTTTTCTTTTGAACTTTTTTTTTTTTTAATTATGTTTGTTTGTTTGCCTGTTTGTGTTTACATATGGCAAGTAGGGAAACACAGCCTTTCCAACCCATAGCATAAGAAAGCATGGGAGGGGAACTTCTCTGTTCAGAAGCATATTCATCTACACTTACAAACCAATTTTGCCAAAGGTACTTGTACACACATTTTTCTTCCCCTGGGGTGAGAAATCTAAACCTGAAACATTCTGACAAGAACAAAGAAAGCAACTGAAATACTGTATTTATTTGCCTTAGGAAAGAATTTAGCAAAATGGATGGTTCTTATTACGAATACGTCCAAGTTAGATTTTTAAAATTATCCATTAGACTCCCTTAGGAAATAAGTAGTTGACACATTCAGATTATACCCATGTTTATTTCAAAACCAGGGAAGTCAGTCACCGGCTGCGAGGAGCTTACATTTAGCCAGGAACCACCAAAGGAAGATAATTGTGCCGTTTTAAACGCCACATAATGTTCTTAATTAGCAACCAAGTGTAGAAGGGACTCTGTAAAGGGTCTGAGGTCCTGATTCCATTACTTCAGCTTCCGAAGGCAGCTTCCAAAGAGCACGCAGGCCACACAAATCCTGCAGCTCATCAAACCAGCTCTGGCCCCAGAAGGGATTTAAGAGCGTTTCACTTCAAGAAATACCACCCAGGCTGGCTGGCTACAAATGTGAGCTGCCTATTATTTCTCCTTCATTTCCCAGGAAGTCTGAGTGAGAGAGCTCCACACCTCCTGATGGGCGTGAATCCCAGCCTTTTGACATCTCCTCTTGTGCTCGGCAGCCTTTTCACTGGAAGATCCCAGCTGTTCTCCACCTCCCCCCTTGCTTGCCGGCAGTCTGGTATACAAGGCAGAAGGGGTGAGACAGAGAGAGAAGAACCAAGCAGCTTTTGGAGTCGTGCTTGCGCCTGAAAACAGATACTTAAGGGAGAAATATATGTTTTAAAAGATGGGAAATTAATCAATTCATTTCCGCAAAACCATTTAGAACATGGATGGTGGGACAGGGTGGCATTGGGAAGAAACTAGTCTTCTAAGTTAACCCCTCTGCTACGCCCCTTGGTGCCACCGTGGCCCTGACGATCGAAGCTCCCTTACCTGGATCCTTTCCCTGCTGCTCTAGAAGCTGTCTTTTTCTGCTTCAAAGTCTGTGCACTCTTGGTGGCCACCCACTAAGATCCTATTTCCTGTCTGAAGGATGCCTTGGCTCATCTGCAGGGCAGACAACTGGCATGCCAATGAGTAGTGACGAGCCCAGGGATGCAGCTACTTCCCTTCCCTGGAAGGTTCTCTAGTGACTCACTGCTCTGGCATTCCCAAAGAAAGTGGAAAGATTTTCATCAGATTATTAATTTGCATTATTATTATTATTATTATTATTATTATTTTTGAGATGGAGGTCTCACTGTGTTGCTCAGGCTAGTCTCGAACTCCCAGGCTCAAGCAGTCCTCCCACCTCAGCCTCCCAAAGTGCTGGGATTACAGACTTAAGCCACCACGCCTGCCCTAAATTGCATTCTTAAGATTTACACATGAGAACTACATAACTAAGGGTAGATGCTTTTAAATAGTAGAACGATTTAACACCCCCTACAAAAAACCATTTAAGAAAGGCAAGCAGCATGTAGCCACACCATAATATGCCTCTTTGGCATAAGGATTATTTTAAGCTGATTATTTTGAGAAAATGCAGACATAGGAGAAACTCTGAAAACAAGAGTAGAAATTACATAAAGAAAATGTACAACTATGAAGGAAATCTCCATTCGTAAAGATGTCTCCTCTCTGTACCAGTCTAAATCACTGGAGACGTAACAATGAAGACAGCATTGACAGGTCTGCATAATAAACCTTACTCTGGTTTGCCATGCTTTTCCTGGTTATCTCCTCATAACCAGCCTTTCCCACACCCTACTTTGTTCCAGTTAAAGATGGTATTTATGCCTGAACTCAAAGTCATGTCTTTGGGATTTACTCATTTTCCCCTGGGTAGCTCTTATGTATATATGAGGCAGACATGTTAATAGACTTCTGCTTGTTTT